CCGTCGACATGTATGCATTTCATCAATGTACTCTTGTTGGTGGTAATGTTCAAATTGATAGAATTGACGATGATGAACTATCTTCAAGGTCCTTTGGTAACTTGACGATTAGTCATAATGCTAATATACAAATATTTATAAAAATGCTCTGTGGTAAGAGCATCACAATTGAATGCCAATACAATGATACTATTGATACCGTGAAACAAAAAATTCAGGATAAAGAAGGCATCCCATCTAACCAACAGCGACTTGTTTTTGGTGGTCAACAATTAGAAGGAGAGAGAACTCTTATTTCTTACGATATTACTAGAAGATGCACGTTACATTTAGTTTTGAATCTTATTGGTGGCGGAAATGTTGTAAGTTATTTGAGTACGGATTTTTTAGCTCCGAACTTCGATTTTGATTTTACAATTATTGATGACAAAAACTCGACATTTACTCGTGGAAATGTTTTATATCGAAGACCGTGCGGATGGAGACGTTTTGCCTTAAAGGTTTCTGGAAATTATGATAATAGTAATGATGGATGGCTTGGTACTGATACAAACGCCTGGCCTGTATCTTACCATGGTACTAGTAAAAATAATTCAAAATCGATTTCAGAAGAAGGGTATTTATTAAGTAAAGGAAAGCGTTTTGCATATGGACATGGCATTTATTCATCACCTGAAGTGGGTGTTGCTCGACTATATGCTAAAGAGTTTGATTACAATGGAGATAAATATTTGGTAGTTATCCAAAATCGGGTGAATCCCGTTGATTTGCAGAAAATTCCGAAGGATATAACAAGAGTCGGTGAATATTGGATCACAAAGAAAGATGAAGATATTAGACCATATGGAATTTGTATCAAAAAAAAAAATTAATTGTATGACAGTGAAATTTCCGAATCATACACCCTATTATAAAGTTTGTTTTCACCGTAATATTGAAATAATACACCTTAGGTTGTAACCTTTGGTTATTAAATAGTGTAACAAGTTCAAAGACAGCGAAATATATTATATTACCGAGAAACGGATTCGTCCGCCAACTATAATTCAGCTATTTATCTTTTTTTGACTTCCATCAAGGCTTCGTCTTGCATCTTTATTCATTATGTAAAAATAGTTTCACTGAAACACTCGCAGTCTGTCATAAAAACCGACAGCAAAGAACATTTACACCAAGAAAACTTTCAAAGTTTCTTAAAATTACAAGTGTTTTAGAACAAGAATACTTGAAACCAAAGGTTATATTGATAAGGTTCATATATTTGAATTTGTGCATATATCAGGCCCTTCATATATATAATGCGCATACTGTATAATTTTTTTTTTTGCATTTGCACCAATAAAAATTTTTTGAATTTATAACACTGGTTAGAAGAACGTAATTTATATAGTAAAATTGCCCAATGAAAACTTTTTATTAGAGCACCAGAAGTGGTTTCTTAAATAGAATTTCGAGAAGTAAGCGATTTTTGACAAAACGAACGTTTGTTTTGAATTTTATCGATCGTATTATGTTGCACCTGATCTTGAAATCTGATTCGTAGTTCAGTAAATCTGCGCCACAAACCTACATTCATAGGAAGACTTTCGTATGATTGGCTGTTTAAATCAATTTAATTTTACATTATTTATACAGTTTAAAGTACTTTTA